GAAGACAGGCTGGGGTAGATAGATTGCAACCTTGGAAAGCGATTGACCCTGAGCTTTGTTTATGGTGAGAGCGAATGCTGTAGCGATCGGAAATTGATATCGCGAGAAACTGACGGCATACGTACGATCGGGCTTGTGGATTAACTTGATCTTCGGGATGGAAACTTCGTCGCCAATGCAGCAACCGGTCAATATTCTGCAACGGAGGGCGTTAGACTTCACCTCGAGCAGTAGCATCCTGGTCCCGTTAGAGAGTCCACTCTTGAGGTCGAGATTGCGGAGTAGGATCAGTGGAATTCTGATCTTCAGCTGGATCTCAGCGTCGGGAAATCCTGGGAGTGAAAAAGTACGCAATACCTCCTCGGGGATTGCTTCGTCGCTCTCGGTTCCATCATCCTCGTTCATCATGAGGTTGATCGAGTGTGAGGTGAAGATCGGACCGTGAAAACGTGATAGACATAAAGAGTTGACCATGGAAATATCCGCGTTCAGCGGTGCCAAGATCAACCGGCTGCCAAAGTAGTTTGTCAATGTTTCTGGATCCCCGCCGGCTATCACCGATTCCATATCGCCATAAGCAGTGTGGATTGACTTGTTGGCAACGATGACCGGGTCCAAATGCTTGAACACGGTCCCAAATGCGAGATCGATGTTTGAGGTCATTTCGGTTTGGTCCGAACCATTACCAACTGACAACAGCCAGTTGTAGAAATCCCTGTTGATGCGAGATGAGTCTGGATGATCGGTATTGATCAGCCGTAAATTTTGGGTCAAATGGAATGTTGTGACATGATTCCATATGGGTGAGTTGATCATGCACTTGTCGGCTTGATCTAAGATCGACCCACCCGGGACCACAGGCAATGTCTGCCTGAAGTCCCCTCCGAATACGACAATCTTGCCACCGAACGGTCGATCGTCTTCCATCAGGTCTTGAAACGCGCGATCTACGGCCTCGACGGCATACTTACTCTGCATTGATATCTCATCCCATATGATGATTGTTGTGTCTCGCAGTCTTTGTGTCGATGCGGCCCTTGGACGCCATGAACAGTTAGAAGATTGATCCAAATCGAGGGGGATCTTGAACCGGGAATGGGCTGTCATTCCCTCAACCAACATCAGACCTGCCACACCCGAAGAAGCCACAGTGGTGACCAGGATATCAGACGAAATGAGGTAGTGGATCATGGAGTTCATTAAATAAGTCTTACCACAACCCCCCGGTCCGTCGATGTAGATAAGACCCGGTTCCTGCTGATCTACCAAGTTGATAACGGCCTCAAAAATAACCGTTTGATCTGCGTTCAATCGCTCGGACATGTCCAAGAAAAGTTGTGCGTGATTGCGAATCCGCTGCTGTTCTTCCTGAGCAGTCTCATTCTGAAAGAGGTCCCAGAAACGATCGTACCATGTAGCATCGGTCAGGCCGACACTATCCAGAGTCTTGTTATGTCGAGCAATGATCTGCTGTAATAAGAAATAGCACAGGGAATACCGGTGGTCTGGGGTCGGATTCGGAATTCTGTATGTATGCTCCAACTTGTAGATTAAGTCGTCAGACAGGAAATCGATGAACTCGTCCATGAGACCTTGAGGTAGTGATGGGGGACTGTGGAGGAGGATCATGCAGAACATCAGACGGAGACCGCTCCCAGTCATCCAGTGAGCGGCATCTTCTAGCGACTGTCTGTAGTGTTGATCCGACATCAAGAAGCCGTATTCTTCGCAAGCCGATCGGAATGTGGGCAACATGATACCCCCCACCGTTCTCAGATCTTCGTAGCTGGTGGAGCCTCTTATGTTGAGCAGTAGGAGGCGTGTGAAATAGCGTTCGCCTTCGTTGATTGAGGCATGATATAGACGACCGATCATATCAGACGTTCTCTGCCTTGCTTTGAACCGTTTCCCCCTTGCCCACTTGAAGTAGGTTGGGAATTCCTGGTACAGGAGAGATCGCGCCGGCATCCCCAAGCCAATGGCGTTCAGCCTGTTGAGTCGAAAAAATTCAGTCAACGTCGTCCGGGCAGCCGAGCCCGTGCTCATTTGTCGCAGGAGCCCCTCCTCATCCGTGAAGTATACTTCTTGCTGATCTGGGAGGTGAATCGCTAAGCGTTGTATCGGCGGGTACCGTTCGCTGGTTGAGAATCTGAGAAGTCTGTATGCCGCTGGGGTTGAGCAGATCAAAGTGAGAGTCAGCACGGAAGACGTACAGGGGGAGGAGATGATCAAAGACTACACACCCTCGGAGGGTCCTATATAACGGCCGTTAATGAATTTGCGGGTCTCGTCCCCTTCACTCATCCTCATAGAGGATCTGTCAACGCCCTTTGTAATATATTTGAACAAATATTTGAGCGCACGGATTCCGTACGGGATTTCGACGTTGATATGGCAGTCGTAACGAAGTAGCAAGTACTTATTATATGGAACAACGTGACCGTTATGGAACACGTTGCCATTCTTGACAAAGGTCCGGCCATCATTCCGCCGCCTATAGTTTGGGTAAGAATCCTCAACCAAAGCAGTCCTTTCCGAAAAGGGCTTGGGGAACCCTTTACTGCATGCGCCGTCCTTCCAGCAAACACTTGATTCGTTGCAGGGGCCGTGTAACATGACCTTGGTGACTATGTTGTAGAGAAGGGGTTCGTTGGTTGGATCAGGGAGCTCGGCCGTCACCAGGGAGTCGATCGCCTCAGCCGTTCGCGGTATACTTGCCCGATCCAGTATGATTATGATATGAGCGTGCGGCAGTCCACGCTTCTGAAATTCAATAGTATACACATGGGCAAGGACCACACCCAGCCGCTTGTTCTTGATGATGTCGTCGAGCAAGCTTGTCAACTTCAATCGAAACACACGGGTTACTATGTCGGGTCTATCGCTAGGCTGCTGGTGTGGAGCCAAAGCCGCAAGGACTTCGGGCCAGTGTGAGTTGGCGGTCATTGTTATGAATAAGGAAGGAGGGCCGTAGTGCCGGACACTCGCCATCGAGTCCTGGTAAAGTTGGAGCATATTTCTTGGAGACCCAGAGAAGGAAGAAGGCAAAACAATACGCCTGCCTCGAACGTCCATATCGTCCCTGAAGGATTCTCGGACTCCTTGGTAGATCTCCGCCTTGATCTGAGCCTGGTTGAACCGGATGAAATCCAATCGCTTTCTCTCAACGCATATGTATAAATCGACTAAGATCTCCTGGAACAAATGTTTTCCGTTTAGTATCGTCGAGAACCTGCCATTGCGATCGAATATCATCGAGGCATACCACTCGCACTGGGAGATGGATGCAGCTATGAGAAAAAGATGTCAGATACTTGACGGGCAGGCAGAATCAAAGTAATATCACTAACCCCTTTCCGTTCCGCTTGGCCAACCGTGGATCCACCCCTGTTCTCCATGAGGGAAGAAGATAGGGTAACGAATTGGAAGATAGCCACTGTAGTCATCCGTAATATGATACAGTCCTCCGCCTACGGTCTGGAGCGTGATATTACGCTGTCCGATTTCTTCAGGAGTGTCGTTGTTGATCACCATACCTACTTCGAGTGCCCGGGGTGCATTGTAGACTCTTTGATCGAGGTCGGATCTGACATAGTTGCGTAAGACATAGCGGGCGTGAGGATCCGGTCCGTGTTCCCGACCAATCATCCTGAACCACCGGGCGTAGGTGTTGTTCAAAGAAAGCCATTGCTGCAATCGAAGCAACAACTGCTCGTTCACAGGGGATCTTGCCTGGTTCGCTCTCAAGTGGGCCTCTGCTTCGTCGTTGCCACCCGTCACATAGATCTGTGCAAATGCCGGCCTGTTCTGACCCTCAGGGAACACCGAGCCGATGTCGTGATAAAGAGCCCCAGTGACCTTAAATGTGTAGATCCCCCTTTGTCCCTGAACGCTTCGGTCGACCTCGGCACCGCAAGAAGAAAAGGATAGCGCGTTGTTGTAGGCTCGAGCGTGGCGTTGGAATTCGAGCGAGTCTTGTCAAGAGAGTACGAATTGGTGAGCAGCACGATCAATAGACGGATCCAAGTGCATCATACGGACTCACTATCATCTTGTCCTGTGAATAACCGACGCAGGAAGTCTGGGTAGTCGATTTCGTCATACCTGACAGGCAGTTCTACACTTCCTTTGCGGCAACAGGTAGAGTAACTTGCCGACATTGCTCCGATCAGATTTTGGGTCCTTTCACCCATGAAATGCAACGCTTCACAGGATTCGCAGCTGTCGCTCATTTGGCCAACATCTGAGGGAATCTCGTCGCGGAAGCGCCTCATGATTTCGGATTCGGTGTTGCTTGCAGGTTCTGAAGCGACCACACGGTCTGGAGGCAGGAAATGACGGATATCGAACTCTTGGCGAATGGCAGGTCTACGATCAGGCCTGGGGGTCTGACGGGCTGGTGTAGATGCACGGCTCGTGGTTGAAGCGGCACTGCTTGAACGGAGCCTCTGAAACATGGCCCTTGCTCGGGAAGCAAGAGCATCGTTACCGGTTCTTCGGGATGAAGGCATTTGTGCCTTGATTGCAGAATAATAAAAATTTGATTTTTGGATCGTGTGTGGGGTTTGATTATTGGATTGTGTGTGGGTGGAAGATTCGGATGTGGTAGTGGAGAAGACCTATGGCACTGGGAAGAGTCAGAGGACAGGCAAGCATACCTCTGACCGGGTCTGCCAAATCCTTGTAGGGTGTGTACAACATCTGCATGTGCAGCAGAAACAGCGGTATCTACTGCCTCATCACATGGTACATACTGGGCTGAATACTGCCATTGAAGAGCGTTGAGGCTTATACACCCTATACACCTCCGATCACATGTGCTGGATTAATCTGAGCCAGATGACGCGAGTACAATCGGACCGGCCTACGAACCGGTCTGAATACTGATGGGGACAGGTAGGACAGATATTGGGTGTTGGATAGAGGATCATACCGGCTACCTCCTGGATTTTGATCAATCGCTCTTCCATCCGCTCATACCAAAATTGTTCAGAGACACCATGAACATACGTGGGTGCGAATTAATCACCCGCAACATCATAGCGAATGGAAATGACAGTTTTACGTATGAAGTACCTCGAGTCGAAAGACCTGGCGGTCGTCGCGTCCATGGTCCTGCCACTACCCCGCCTTACTGGCTGACCTTCAGATTTCCGGATGCCGAGGTTATCAATCGGCATCGGAATCTTCATATCTCTTACGTTGGCACAGTGACTCTGGATGTTGGAACCGGGGTGCTGAGGGTCACCTCCGCGATAACCAACATTGGCCGGTTTCCTCCGCGATCGTTCATTGCCAATTTGCGGATCGGACCACTCGTATCGGCAATGGGGGTAGTGGTCGAAGTAGAGGAGCTCACGGTGAATGTCATGGGCCGGAGAGTGGATGTAAGCTGTGATTCCTGACCAAGTTGCTCTGTACAGTACACTGAAAAATTCCATCCCAGGGTCCCTTGGTAGAATTGCGACTAACCGAAATAGACAGGGTCGACCAGGCACATGCCTTAGTCTTAGGTCGAAGAGTTCACTTTACGGGGCGCCTCATCGAATCTCGACCCAGAGCCGAATCTTTGTGTGTTTAGGTAAGCGGAACCATGAGATTGTCTTTTGATAACACTAACCCGGTTGCATATCTCTAGGTGTGTTCTTTATTGACTGGCCGGCTCGGGACCGCACCACCCCATAACTAAATCTGACTCGTCTCGTTAGGATCATTGAGCCCCTTATTGCAGCATATGCGTAGCAAAATTGTTTTCTTTACTCAGTAACCATGTGAAATGAGTTGGTTTTGTGTATCCATTTATGGCCATTCAATCAAACATATAGCAGAGTCAAGAGTTTTCATTATCGCAAACAACGCGGAGATGAGTAATGAGAGACAAAGGAATAGAGAAAGTGATGGCGATTGAATCAAACATGGAGCAAAGTCAAGAGTTTTCATTATCACACACAACAGTTGCGGTACTTGCAACGTACAGATGAGTAATGAGAGACAATGACATAGAGAAAGTGAATTAAAGGCAAGTCTTTGCCCGTTTTTGAGCATCAGACAGGGACACAGAGCCCGAGCTTGCGCTGGGGGTGGTGTTAGAGCTGCTTGTCGGATACCGCTTGCCGTTCTTATACGTATTGACGAAGCGGTTTTCATCCTCATCTCCACCGGGCCGTGATCCCCTTTCCCGAATCTCGCCTTCTGATACATCGTCGGCTCCTGGGGAAAGTCGGCTAGTAGAGGGGGTCGGGGTAGGGACAATGTTAGGACTGAACGGACGACCCGCAGAACTGCTCGGAGTTGTCATCTCTGCCGATGGCACCTTGCTGACAGCGGTAGGGGTGGTGGCACTGATACCACCGATCATTCGTCTGGTTTTAGGAAAAGAGGGGACAACAGAGCAGAAGGGATCAGATGCTGCACCATTTGTGCACGATCATGTCAATGAAACTCACAGGCCGGGTCGGAGCTGAGTGGTTTTCCCGGAGGAGGAAGGGGTCCGAGGTGCTTTGAAGGATGACTTTCCATTGGACAATGAGAACAGATATACCTGAGAAAGAGTAGAGCAGATCAGCGGCACTGTTTGTTGAAACCAATGAAAAAGCGAGACCCGTGTACCTGAACCTCCCAAGAACCGAGAGCTTCATTGAATCCGGTGATATTGCCAATCATCAAGGCTTCAATATCCACGGTGAAGAATCCAAAAGTATTTCCAAGCACTGGGTTCCCCGGGACAATGTAGACCGTGAAGAACTCGGTGCTGGACTTCTTCTACAAAAATAAATGGATTGGTATCAGGGCTGGTCAAACGATTGGACTGAGCCAAGAATTCTAAGATCAAAAAGAAACATACAGCGTTATGATAATCGTAGTGCCTCATTGTCACATGTAGATCGGTTTGCGAGGTGTTGTTGAGCCCAACGCTTGCAACTCTCTCGGTCTTGATGATAGTCCCAAACCCAAAGACAAAGACTTTTCCCAAGAGCTCGGAGCCCAAGTCGACATCGGGATGGACCGGATCCGTTTTTCGATACTGAGCAGTGCCACCTATGTACAGACTCAGGTTGCTTTCAAAGAAGCACTGATATCCTCCTTCCTTCGTGCTCTTGACTATTCGACCAACCGTAAAGTACACACGGTCCTTGACTAAGGCCGTTGCCCTAGAGCCGTACCCGGAGAATTGCACACCTATCGCGGTTTCGCCTGCTTTCGGATCGGTCACCACAATGGAAGAAAAATAATGAAACATTCCAAATGACTTTCCAGGTGGGACATCGTTCCCTAACTGGATCGATGAAAAGGGAATCGACATATCAGTGGAGTCCAGGTGACTGAATAATAATAAATACTCACCACTTCGATTATGTCGTATGGACCGACAAAATACATTGGCCGAGTGGGCGACGACTTGCCGGACGACATGTTGATGCTGATTTTTCTGGGTTTCAAGATGATGGGGAGTCGCTGTTCGGAGCGATTATCAGGACACAATGTGGCAAACCAACTAAAGCACCTAGCAAGTACTTGGCCGGATTGCTTTATTCGGCCAAGAGTTTTGCCGCATGAGTCGATTGAACTGCCAGCCTCATACAATTATTTATGTTAAAATGATTGTATGGCGTTCATTAATCCAACCGGCATCAATTACTATCACGTCAGCGCCAGATGGGGCTTTTATTCAAAAGACGAACTGTGCCTTGCGTTACGTGACGATTATGGCTTGCCGACGCCTCGCGCTATGTGACAATGCTATGGCTTGCAGGAACTTTTGCTGGGTGCTTTGCCTCACTGTAGAGGATCACGTCAGCGCCAGATGGGGCTTTTGCTCTACTGACGAACAGTGCCTTGCGTTACGTGACAATGTTATGGCTTGCCGACGCCTTGCGCTACGTGACGATGCTACGGCTTGTAGGAAAAGTTGCCGGGTTCTTTGCCTCGCTGTAGAGGTTGACAGCCACACCCACATACATACCGCTATGAGGTTCTTTGTGGATGACCAATGAAGTCACGGTTGCTAGTGTATATAAAAAACGGGGTTCGGACAACCCCTCACCTCTGACTGGTACCTCTGAGTCGAAAGTCATCCAGGTCATAAGTCATAAAAAATAAGTCATAAACATAAAGTAAGATCCAAAAAGTCCCCCATAAAACTGAAACACTACAAAAAAAAGTTGTTTAAAAAGAAGATAACACTGAAACCGAACCAGAAAATAACCCTGAAAAAAAATACTAAAAACTTGAAACTCCTGAACAGGAAACTCACGAACCCCGTTAGCAGAAACTTTGACCTTTCAAGGTAGTAGATTGTCTTGTTGCTCAAAAGTAATGCATTCATCAAGGTCTCATTCTTCTCATCACTTCCTCAGGTGTGCTTTCGTGTCATTTCTATCTCCTCTCCGGTGGTTCTCTTTGTTAACCAC